GGAAAGTGAGTAAGAGGTCCAGGAAGGTCTTCCCAGCCACAGGAGGCCAGGGGGTTATTTCCATATCAGTGTTCCTGCTGGGGAAAGAGGGGGTGCTGGATAGATAAAGGAGGAGGGACTGGGGGCTCTAGGAAATCCTCCAAAGGACATTTCGTTGGCTGTGCTCATATCCTGCAGTTGTGGCAGGCACAACTTGCTTTTGATCATGACATCTTCACAGGACATTGATCCTATACCAGGTGCTGTACTATGTGCACAGAGCCAAGGAAGGAGAGGACAAAGGAAGATACTACTTTGGAAGTAATCACCTACAAAGACATACACAGGCCAGCAGGGAACAGTGTTCAGGGTCTAATAAAGAGCACATGGGCCTGTAGACAGAAATGTTCATCAGCATTGAAAAATGCAAATATATAAGCAACAGGAATGAAGAAGAATGTCTGGGGTGGGGGCTGGGCCCTTACATGGAGACCTGTAATGGTGGAGGATCTCCATTGGATCCCGACCTGGACCCACAACCCCCTGTACTTGCTGTATGCTCTTTTAAAACCTGGTTCCGGATTTCCAATCTGACCAAAATGGAAGTCCCCCTACATGTTCCCTTATGTTCCACCTCTGTGACAATGTGGAACAAGGTGTCTAATACTCCTTATTGTCACTACCATTTATTCAGTACCTACTATACATCAGCTGGAGATGAGGATGGAATATCTTTAACCATGGAGAAGACCCTATTGTCTCCATTTGGAATATGAGGAACTGAGGCTCAAGAGAGAGTTGTGTTCTATGATGAACCCTGTGCAAAAAAAACTCAAGAGACTTTTGTAACGATCTTTGGGAAACCTACTTCCCGCCACAGTATTATTCAAAGGCAGGAGAGCGGGGCTTCACTGTTGGATGCGACAGAGATGTTAAGCGCAGAGGGGCCTGTTAAGAGGGAACTGGCTGAGTGCTGGGAAGTGATAGCTTAAATTCAGATTAGAATAAGGAAAGTTAGACCAACTACCAGAAACTGTAGCGCACCCTTAGCATTCTGGAGCTGAGGAAAATGCGGCTCAAATGGTGCTGAGGGTAGTGTAAAATCACAGTCAGAGGGGGAGGGGCCTTCTCCTAAGTCCTGGGCTCTGGGACCCTAGTCTGCCTCCTCCCTGCAGGCGCCTGCCCCTCCCCTCTTCCACCCTAGTAAGGCGGGTGAGGCTCTCTCTCCACCTGAGTAATTATATTCTCATTAGGAGTCGATCCATAGCAGCATGCTACTCATGCTCAGGCGAAGTTCCCTGTGGGCTCCCCCGATGCTGCGAGCACCTGGTGGCTCCAGGGAACTTGGATGGGCCACCTTGCCCACTGGCCCACAGGACTTCTAGGCACCGTGTACTCTATGAAGCTTTCCTGAGTTGCCCTCACCATACTTGTATGCTTCTTGCTGCACGCCGCCGCAGCCACGGAGAATAAGCTTTAACCTCTGCCCTCAGAGAGGCAGAGGTGTGCGGTGGTAGTGCTAGCTAGGTAAGACTCCACACTCCGTAAAGTGGCACAGAGAAAGGATGACAAGTCTGCTGTCCTGGGATTTAGAAGTGGGAACGGGACACTAACTAAGCTGACGAGGAGAAAGTAAGCAAGGCGACCAGAGACATTGGGGAGAAGCTTTTTCAGACCCATGGTGAGGCAAAATTCAGGGTGGTCCTGGAACCCCTCCAGGTTGGGATATGAAACAACTTATTTGAGATGAAAGCAGGAGGCAAGGTCCAGATCTGCCAGGGATCAGAGGCTTCAAAGCCTTAAAGGGAACCAAAGGAAGGTGTAGGTTTTTAAATCGCCCCATCCACCCACCTTCTAAGCTTCTGGGTGGGACAGGAAGGAAGTCCCCAGGGAACTGCCGCTCTCCAGGGCCTTTCTTCTCCATCCATCTCCAGCCTGTCACTTGGAGTCTCTCATGACCCCATCTGGGGACCCAATTTTTCAGGCATAGGTTGGCTCACCTGTCTCTGACCCAAGGGATACTCAGCCTCCATCTTCACCCCAGATGAGAAGATGCCCAATTGTCACATGTGGGGAGAATGGGGTGAGGTGTCCACCACACTGCTCAGGCAAAAGTGGGTGGCCATTCCATGTGAAACCTAAAGCAATAAGGGGAGACAAGCATAGCTCCAAGTGGCTCCCTCCCTGCCAACACCCTTGCCCTCCCTGGAGGGCAAGGAGCAAGTGGGCAGAAAGTCTCCTAGGAAGAGCATCACTTGCTCTATGGGTTGGGACAGCCCCCAAGAAGAAGCAGCCTTTGAAGAATGGGTCCTCTGAAGAATGGGATTTTGAAAAACAAAGGAAAGAACAATAGCTTCAACTTCAAGGCTGGGTGGCATGTGTAGGTACACCAAGAGAAATGGAAGGTGGATAGTCAAATGTCACAGGGAAGGGCTGACAGATGAAGGAAGAGGTGTAGAACCAGATGCTGCTAAAGGGTTTCAATGCCAACCTCAGGAGCATGGACCCAATCCTACCAGGAGACAGGTAGAACTGGAGCAGAATCAGAGAGACATTTCCTCTTCTTTCTGTGGGTCCACTGGCTCTAGTTTCACTTGCTGAGACTCTGATCTGGACCGCAGTTGGGATCCACAGCCCTCTGCCCCCTTCCAGGTTAGTGTAGTGCCAGTCACTCACCGAGGCAATGGAACCTATAGGCCCCTGGTTCCAGACCAGAGAATGGTTGGTTCCCCAGAGAAGGAGGGACTCTGGAGATGTTTAGACTCCTCCCTGCCTTTATACAGAAGGGCAACCTGAGGGCAGGAGACTTGCCCAAGTTACCCAGGTGGAACTCAGCCTGGTGTTTCCCTAGCACCAGAGCCCTGGCCACTAGCACTGGGATGGTTCTACCCTTAGGAAGAGGAATGGACAGCATTCTGGAAGCTCCCTGAGCTCCAAGGCGAATGGAAACCGCTTGAAGGTTTAGCAAACCCTTAACCCTCACAGCCTGGAGCGGTAGAGCTGCCCTCTACACTTCAGTGGGAAGGCTCTGCATAGCTGAGTTGTTGGTCAAGGTAGTTCCCCGGCAAACTCCCATTGTCCTTGACCTGTCCTTCCCAGCATGAAGCCTGAAGACAAAGCCCTTACTAAAAAGAATCGCTTTTCTACTAAATTCCTGTAAGGCTCCTTTTCCGGTGGGACTGAAGCAGGAGAACTGTGAGGATGGAAAAGACAGGCACTCCATTGTGCCTCACTACGGAAGGCCCCTGTTGTCCGCCCCCGCCCCCACTGTCCCCTGGGCCCCGGGGCTGTGAGGGACAGGACACTGCGGCACCTTAGACTGTGTGGTTGAGAAACAGGACTGAAGTTCCCAGCCCAGCGGCGTTTGTGAAGCGATCAGGGGAGCAGAAGGTAGAAATGTCAGAAATTTTCCTGCCGTGGGTGGCTGTTATTAACCCCGTTTCCCCCATCCTTCCCTCCAGAACCACTTAAACTCGAATCTGAATCTCAGTCCAAGGAAAACCCTCGAGGTGGGCCCAGAACCACGGAAGCCCACCCGGGCCACGGATCTCGGTCCTGGACCCTCTGCTTCCACCCGCTTCTGGCGTTGCATCATCCGCGTCCAACACAGGGTCAGCGTTCCAAACTTAAAACGAAGTCGTTTATTTCAATTTTGCTTTCACATTATGTTTCGATACAATCAAAACTTCTGAATGAACCCCTTTAAAGTCCTGCGAATGAGTGCAATAGCAGGTCTGGGCGCCCGGATTGTTTGGCGGGTGGATCTCGGGTTCAGAGGAGCTGGTACAAAATATAAGGTGCTTTGGGAGCTGCGGAGCTGGATAGAGCTGTTGCCATCCAGGGATAGTAGGCTCGAAGACACTGTCACAAGGGGCAGGTGGGTTCGGGTCCTAGAATTGGGAGTAATTCTTGATGCATTTGGAATTGAGGGTGGACAACAAACTGCTTCCAGGCCCTCATGCACGCCTAGCAGGATCTGGGTCAGATTTCTCAGGTTCCATTAAAGCAGGGAGCACAGGGAAGGCAGAACCGGCCTGCGGGAGGAAGCGCAGAACCGGCTCTGCGAAGAAGCCCTTTTGCCCCTGCCTCTCCAGTTGCATCTTCCAAGCCTCCTGCTTCTCCGCCCGTCTTGGGCAGTCCAAGCCCTCAACCTCGCAACCCGGAAAATGCGAAGTTTAGAAAGCTGTTTCAGAAAAATAAAAGTCCCACTTTGACTTTATTGGATTAAAGCAAAATTAAATTTTGGCTATTCACACGTATGTTACAGAGGAAGAGGAAGCATCCGAAGAACCTCCTTGGCGGTTGGTGGAGCCACAGAACACAGGGCATTGACAAGCATCAGAAAACAAACACCAAGCAGCCTTAGATTTCACGATCACTCCGAACAGGACAGAAATACGGAATACAGCCAGCGTCCACCGTAAGAGTTCTTCGTGTACAAATGATACATTTACATATTTATGTATAGTTAAACCAGTCACCACGAAGGCGAGTCCTTCCTCCGCTAACAGCAGCCGAGGGCAAGTCTCTCAAGCTTAACTCGCGCGGTGTTTGAAGAGCAAAACCTGTTATATTAAAACTACCTGCCCCATTCAAAAACAGAAACAGAAAACAAACGGACCCCCTCTTCAAACTCGGGGGGGGGGCATACTAAGTTTCAGTAAGTGGCAGGGTTCAGAGGGGGGTCGGGTCAGGAGAAACATTTCACATTACTTCGTTAATTGTTGGGGACATGGACGGGTAAGGAACAATGACAAGGCAGTCTCTTCCTCGATTACTGCGACTGGCTTTGGGGAGGCGAATTTATTTTTGGAAATGGGAGTGTGCAGAGCTAAGCGAGATTTACTTCTCTTAGTAAGGGACGAAGTTGGACCGCGGGCGGCGCACACCTTTGTACCCAGGCGTAGCTAGGAACACGTAGTAAGTTTCCGGTGGCGCCGCTTCCTCGCCCTGGTAATTTTCGGCCTCTTTTTCACTCCCCTCCTGCCTTTCTCCTGCCTCCATTCCCGTTACCGAGCCAATCAGAGGGGAAACACGAGGAATCCAGAGAAGGTTGAGTACTTCCAGCCCCCCATCAAGTTCCCCCGCTCCAGCTTGAGGTATGCTCGGTCGCCTTTCTCCATCTGGATGAGGACGCCGTTGCTGGCGGCCTCACGGGTCACGTCTTGGTCACCGGCGAAAGCTGAAATCACCGGCCACCCGTTCAACATGAGGCTCACCTGAGAAAAATAAAGGCCTGCGTCAGATGCGCCACCTAAGCGGGTACCCAAGCGACGGGGGAGAGCCAACCTAGGTGCTTAGCTAGCTGTCCCAAAGGCCTGGGGGCCCCGACCCGGCAGGAGGCGTGCGGGGAGAAACCGGGCTTAGCTGCTTGCTGCGAAGGCTCTAACGGGGACCCACACCGTATCTAGGTAGAGGAAGGGTCTGACTCTCTAGAGCGGCAGGAGCGCGCCAAGTGAA